TGATTGGATTGCGATTAAAGCTTCTTTTGACTGTCTGAGCTTTTCGTCGAAAGAGATTTTTGGCAATTGAACCAAAGTTTATACTGCACCGATCGACACCGTGATGATGCGGTAATGTGGTGGTGAAAAGGTAAGATCTACTTATAATAAGACACCTAGTGACTGGTGTGAAGAAAGAAAAAGTTACCAAGGAGCTACCAGGTAAATAGTAGGGAGGTGAGTGATAAGTGAATAATTAAAAAAAATTACGAATTATGGGGGTTTTTGGCGGCTACTAAACTTCGAAAGGGACTTTTTTTCTAAAAATCCTTTCTAGCGGGTTCTTTCAATTGTTCTTGCAATTGTACACACGGATACCTGCCACTTGTACTCGAAGAAGAAATTATAGGCAAAATTGCGCGCATGTGAAAGAATAAACCTCTCGCTTGGAAGTAAGATTATAACTTTCGGGGAGGGCAATTAAAACGATACTTGACGGTATCAATTTAGGAGAATGGGTAGATTATTGTACAGAAGCATAGAAGCGTATATCATTAGCGAGTACAGGTAGCTAATGTATCTTCCAGGTCTGATATTGATCTTGCTTTTACTATCTCATAATAGATATTTGTATATACATTTATGACTTGTTAATGGTTAATGCAACTTGTCACTAAGGCGAAGAATGATTTTTAAGACATCGTGTAACTTCAGAACCTAAAGCCGCAGCCTAAAGAAGATCGTGCTCACGGAAGGTTTTAGATTGCGAATATCTAGTTCTATTTATTCAGTAAAAGATTTGCGTTAAATGGGTCGGCGTATCGCACGATCCTCCATATTTAATTGACTTATTGTGAGCACCCAACAAGCTACTGCTGCGGACGTGAAGTTGAGAAAGTCCATGTAGTCATCTCGTTGACTGTAGCCCCAGCCCTATGTCATGAGGCCGACTCATCTTCGACTACTTATACTCAATAGAAATGAATGGATAACCCCATTGTCTTGACGGAATGTTAAATCGGTGCTGAATTGAAAGCTGTCGAGGAATCTTGCATATAGCAAATGCACATGTCATTATTGAGACTTCAGCGATTGCTAAACAATATTGGTGGTTACACACAACCAAAGATTTGAAAGACAATGAAGTATTGGCGGAGCGGGCCGTGGGTCATTGAATGCCTTCAGAAGAATACAGAAACATAGTGGACCTTTGGTAAGTTTCTAGCGCTATTATTGTTCCACCGCAGAATAATACAGTGCAAGCAAGATCCCAAGGATTTGGTCCTGTCCTTTGTCAGGTCGTACATCTGACGACTATTGCTGTCCCACAAGTGACCGCGATACAAGCCTCGATGAAGACGCTTGGCCTATAAATCTTTGATCTTAGGTATTACCATCTTTGAGATGGCTTGAATAGCTCATTGGCATTTCTGGAACCGGCATTTGTACAACTGTAGGACGCACAATTATTAAGTTGTAGTTTGCTTTGCAAGAACCCGATTCTCGGTATCGTCCGCTCTCCTCGCACGAACTAGAATAATGTGTGTAGTAGCTGGTGCTTCATCTAAATTTGATGGTGTATTGGAGATAATGACGGCTTCGATTTAGGTGCCATTGGTACCTTTGACAATCATTTGATTTCAGTCTTTCGCACTTGTTCCATGACAATTTCCACCACCTTCTTGAAACCTTCCATCTCCTCCTCCACAGTTCCGCCCATTCCTGCACTTGCGAAACTAATAGAATTGCCAACGTAGACAGGCTTTCCTGTTTTGCGCGCCAACAATTTTGCAAGTCGGGTGGTGAACTCGACTGAGGATTCATAGACACACAACGGTGTAGAAAGTGGCTGACTAGCATTCATTCTCTAAACACATGTTAATGCGAAAATATGAAAGCAAAAACAAAAAGAGTTCGACTTACATTTGGAAGCGCATAGACGAACGAGCCTAGAGGTGGTGCTGTAGAAGTATCACCATTTAATGCCGTTGTGAGGAACAACAACAATGAAATTTTGTTGATTGTCAAGTGCAGATGAATATTGGTCTCTGGAGCTTTTGGAAGAGGAAACGTGATCTGGATAGGTGGTTGTGACGCGCCCATGAACGCTGTACTTGAATCCGCCATCTTTTACTGATGTTGCTAGGTATTGAGAGATGTTTGTGGTGGGAACGAGTAGATGTTCGACATTTTGGTTGGCGGGGTATACGTGGAGGACGGAACTGATACAGATACAACTTTACTACCATAACATTTTCATGCACTTCAACCCGTCAAATATATATAATCTTATACTAAACTCTTGTACAAACAAGCCGAATTCTGTTATGACTTGTTTAAACATCTTGGTTTACTTGTGATGTATTAATTATGATTTCAATTGGAAGATAGTTTTGACCTACAGAAGGTGCTGGAAAGCGGTGAAACATCAGTGGCGGCAAAATAAATGAATTTCGTCATTGCTTGATTTTGAGTTATTTGGATATTCATAAACGATCAATTCTTGACCACAATTTGAACCAGATATCTATTATCGTCTCCTTGATGGCGTATCGACTCGTCGCGGCGCATGCGACGCCTTCTCAATTGTCACGGGGAGGCGCTTACACTCTGCGAACCTCGTCCATTTTAGGGCAATCGCAGTGCATATGCCGGTGTCATAGACCTCGGAATTTTTCATCATCTGCAAGATATTATCGTCAGAACAACGAGTACAAGGAATCCTTTGGCACAAGATTACGGAGGGCTCTCAATGACACCAAAATAACATGGTACCATATACCTGTAGGATTGGGTATAGGCTTCCTAGGGCTTGTTCAGATATATCGGTTGAATGAGCGGGAGAAGGCAAAGAGAGAAGAAGACGATGATGGGATTGCCGATAGAGACTATCAAGGACGACCTAAAAAGAGAGAAAGGGTAAGGCCCTCAGGGCCATGGTATGTTATTTCCGGCGTTGCAAGTGTCTAGCTAACACAATTACAGGCAGGTTCAAGTAATGTCGACACTTCCTCTGAAAGCTATGTCAAGAATATGGGGCAGATTTAATGAATTGGAAATACCTTACTATTTGCGAGTACCTGGATTTAAATTATATTCTTTTATTTTTGGCGTTAAGTATGTGCACCTCTCAATCGCAAAAATATATAATCTCTAACTCTGTGTCTGCTAGCCTCTCTGAAGTGGCAGAACCTGATCTTCACGTATATCCTAATCTAGCTTCGTTCTTCTATCGCACCTTGAAGCCAGGAGCTCGCCCACTTCATCCGAACCCAAATGCATTGCTTTCCCCATCTGATGGTCGAATTCTCCAATTTGGTGTCATCGAAAGTGGTGAGGTAGAGCAAGTCAAGGGAATGACGTATAGTCTGGACGCCCTCCTTGGTACCAGTAAACCGGCCACCACTCCAAATCCTGCCGATCCTTCCAACATATTCACCCCCCCTCAAGATACCAAACCGAAACAAAGTAAGGCGAGATATAGTGACGGGGATGAAGAAATTATCAAGCAAGACGAAAAGTTCGCAACCGTCAATGGCATCTCATATACTCTTCCAAACCTACTCTCAGGGCCGCCCCAAGAGCAACCTGGAAAGAGCACAAGTGATGCCTCTACCACACCAAAGGCAGCCTCCGAAGCAGAAGTCCGCGCTGACCTTGCCCTTGGAGAAAAGCCGTGGTATTCTCGACTTACTTCCGAGAATAAGACCGCTTTGTACTATGTAGTTGTATACCTGGCACCTGGTGACTACCACCGTTTCCATTCTCCAACTGCGTGGGTTGTTGAGAAGCGACGTCATTTCGCTGGAGAGTTATACTCGGTATCTCCCTATCTTCAACGAACATTACCAGGGTTGTTCGTGTTGAATGAGCGGGTTGTACTTCTTGGCAGATGGAGGTGGGGCTTCTTCTCCTACATTCCTGTCGGTGCCACAAATGTGGGCTCCATTAAGATCAATTTTGATCGAGAACTACGAACAAATTCTTTAACAACAGATACTGCTGCCGACAGAGCTGCCGATGAAGCCGCGAAACGCGGGGAGTCTTATAGCGGGTTTGCTGAAGCCACTTACGAGGCTGCGAGTCCCATACTACACGGCCATGCCCTAAGGAGGGGTGAAGAAATGGGAGGGTTTCAGTTAGGAAGTACAGTCGTACTTGTGTTTGAGGCACCTAAAGGAGAGAGACCAAGTCTGGATGAAGGTTGGATGGGACAGAAGAGAAAAGGGGGCTGGAACTGGGCCATCGAGAAGGGTCAACGTGTTAAAATGGGCGAACAATTAGGATGGGTCGACGGAGCGTAACCTTGAAAAGGACAGTTGAGTGAGAATCTTGCAAAGATTACTCAAGCAGGTCAATGCACCTAGTAGATCATTCTCATGTAGGAATATTCGGAGTACTTGGTATCTATCTGAGTTGTCACAAGTGGCTTAGAATCAATCATAAGGGTCCTCAACCTTGATGGGTTGGCCATCAAGGTGCCTAATCACAAATCTTGTATATACTACCTACCTACATAGAATCCTTCGTTTTCTGTATCGATAACAATAAAAGATCTTCTGAAACTCACAACTATGTCAGCATTCCAAGACACCCATATTCATGATGTTCTCATCGTTGGCGGAGGCCCTTGCGGCCTTGCTGTCGCTGCACGTCTCTGTGAAAGCACACCCTCATCACTCTTTACCGACTCCGAACACCAACGTTATCACTGGATGAAAGCATCTTCGGCACGTCAAACATCTAAGCCTTTTAAAACAAGTCGTCGTTCTCACACAGCAAGCGATCGATTGGTACAAGGAGCGTCTTGCTGTAACGTTCTTGATATCGCTGTGCTGGACGCTCACGGCGACGAGTGGATGAGTGCTTGGAATGAGAGATTTAAGAAATTAGAGATTAGGTACTTGAGAAGTCCAATGTTCTTTCATCCGGATCCCAGAGACAGAGATGGTTTGAGGGGTTATGCGTGGAAGGAGGGGAGAGACAACGAACTTAAGGAGATTCATGGGGTTATTGGCAAAGAGTTGAGTAAACATCAGAGGAAACAGAAGATGAAAAAAAGGTATGCAGTTTTGAGGTCCCTGGTACACGAAATATCCTCAAAATAGTAATGCTAACTAATGCAGTGGTAAAAGCAGACAAGAAACTACATTTCTTGACGAGCGGGATCGACCTGATTATTTCAGGCCAAGTACCGCTCTCTTTAAGAGCTTTTGCGAAGACATTGTCAGTCGTTATGATCTGGGAAATGTTGTGGAAAGATCTGAAGTCAATTCCATCGATTATGAACCCAACGAATGCGCGGATTGTCCTGGTGTATTCACGCTTCAAACAGCAACTGGCACAAAACGAGCACGCATCGTTGTTTTTGCAGCAGGTGCTGCTTTAAACCCAGCTTTACCAGCTGACTGCCCATTCTCCCATGAAGGAAGCATAACTCACGCCCTTATTCCCTCATATCTCAGCTCGAGCGATAAACTCCTTCCTCCGCACATGGTCCGTAAAATCTCGCGCAAACAACAAACGAACCTACTCGTCGTAGGTGGCGGTCTTACTGGTGCCCAGATTGCAGATGCAGCACTCAAACACGGCGTCACAAAAGTATACCAGATAATGCGTGGACCACTCAAAGTCAAAGATTTCGATATGGAACTTGGATGGGTTGCAAAATTCAAGAATCACTTCCTTGCTCGCTACTGGAGTGCGGATTCTGATGAGGAGAGACTAGAAATGTATAAGGAAGCGAGGAACGGCGGAAGTGTCAACTCGGAGTACCACCATATTCTGAAAACCCATATTTCAAAAGGTCGGGTTTCCCTCCATGAATATACTAATATTACTTCCGCTTCCTGGGATTCTGTGTTGCAATCGTGGAAGGTGGAGACTTCTCCCGAGTTGTTGGATCTACCTGCATTCGATCATGTCATGTATGCAACAGGTTTTGATATCAATTTTGAGAAGATTGAAGCAGTCCAGCCGCTGATTAAGAAATATGGCATTGAGACAGTTGGAGGTTTTCCATGCTTGACGCATGATTTGAGTTGGAGTGACAAGGTACCATTCTTTGTTACTGGTAGATTAGCAAGTTTGAGGATGGGTCCGGCTTCACCAAATCTTGAAGGGGCAAGAATGGGTGCTGAGAGGATTGCCGTGAGTTTTCATTTTTCTTTGACTGTTCTGGGGTTATGAACAACTGCTAATTATCAATAGTGGAAGGTAGGTGAGCTTCTAGGACGTGGAGGGTCGGATAGCAAGGGTGGAAGACGTGACAGTGGTTATAGCAGTGTTGATGGAGAAAACGAAGGTGTTGATTTTAGAAGATTGGGTCTGGGGATTGAGAACCAATTTGATGTTTTAGATCAGAGCGACGATAATTGAGATCATATTAATGCATGATATCTATCGACAGCCATCATGATCAACGAGCTCTCAGTAGCTAACCTTAACTCATGCAATAGAATCTGATAATGCAAACATAAAAATAACCTGCACTGATATTGGTAGCTTTTTGAGAATCATGACCTACATTCTTTTTGTAAATATAGTTTGAAGAGGTCTTGGAATAACTACTAGGTAAAATAAGTAGTTTTTGAGTTCTTTACTGTTTAAGAATATTACGAAATAGTTTTAATATGCCTATTTTCGGACCATTTGTCATCCGGCGGACCTTTCGGCAGTGAATGGATGAGATAAGCATGTGTGGTCCCGAAACTTGCGACCAGATGTAGGATTACGAATTATTAACCTCGTAGCTCGCTCTACTTCAAACGTGAAATCATAATCTACCAACAAGACGGAAGACACCATTTGTTTTCAAAACAAGAAGACTTCTCCATATGCATTCTTCCATTTGCCTATGATCATATCAATTCATATTTGCTATGAGAGAAGCTACATCCTAAACCGAGCTATCTAGCATCTCACTCAATTCAATTTCCCGTCTCATGCTGGTTAGCCAGATCGCCAACATTAAGGACATATTTCGAACTTACACAATTAGCATTCATTATGTCTCAATCACTAGAGAATGAGGCTGCTAGTGATGTGCTCATAAAGGACGAGGAACAATCAACATTACCAACTTTCACTCTTTCCATCGTCTCTCCTTCAACAGAGGTCGCAAGCCCATTGACTTTTCCCCAATTGTTACCGAGCACCACAGTACAAGAATTGAAGGCAAAGATTAGAGATGTTGTGCAATCAAAGCCGACCGACTCAGCCCAACGGCTGATTCATCGTGGTCGAATGCTGGAGAGGGGATCACAGACAATGTTAGAAATCTTTGGTCAAGAGAGCGTGAGAATATGTTTGCCCACACAATTTAATACGCTTGCTGACTCTATGCTTTAGCTATCAAGTCTGGATACTCAAACTCTTCACCTCGTTCTCCGGCCTGCCCCTCTAGAAGCAACTTCGACGGGAAGCGCAGATCCCACAACACAAAATAACCCCTCGAATATACCCATTCCTCGCAGTAGGACCCCTCCACCTCCGCTGCGTGCGCTGGGCGCGCAGCAACTCCGTGATTTCCACCATGTTGCACATACATATCAGACGAGGACGGAAAGGTTGCAGCAATTACAAAGGGACACAGAGCGCTTGCAGCAGGAACTTGAAGCAGGCACTCGGGCTTATCAATCGCATGTTGGACGTCGCATTAATTTAGGAAATAATATGCCGGCACCGCCCGCTGTCCCTCAAAATCCGTATGGACCTCCGGCCGCAAATCATACCTCAATTCAACAACTCATTGCGCAGCATCAACAACAAAGGCGAGCTTTAGCAGGACTTACGGCACAGGACTTGGGCGGAGAAGGAAACATGTTTACGGCTCTAGACGAAGTGAACTCTGGTAGATCCACACCCCAATTTAGGACACCCGAACATAGCGCTACTTATACTCGGGAAGGTGTCGGCCCAAATGGAGAGAGATGGCAAGTGACGGTAAACGAGACTACAACCACAATCCCCGCAGGAACATTTCGATCCGGTGAGAGGCATAACCCATTTCGACCACCCGAGAGACATAGCTATGGACAACACCCTTCACCTTCAGGGGCGAACTCGGGAAACCCTGCGTTAGATTTACAGAACATGTTGCGAAACGTAGATAGGTCAAGGGCTTCATCAACTCCTCCATCGGCGCAACCCGAAACTCAAACTCCTCCATCATCTACCACTGCACCTGCGACCACATCTGCTCCTAGCACACCTTTGACCACTGCGTCTCCCAACCCATTAGCGAGAGTGTCTGTACCAAACTTGACTGCAACCACCCCAGCAACTTCCACCGGAATCACATCTTCCCCATCTTTGGAGCCCATGGTCTATATACTCAGCTCTCCCTCAGGGCCTCGCGCACTTTTAATAAACAATGCCGAGACTTTCTATACACCACGTCCTTCAAGAGCTCGTCATGGTGTTGGTGACCGTGATCTATTTGGCTTCCCCGAGTATCGCAATAGAAATGCACAAAGGGCTAGGATGGGGCGTGTAAACCGACCACGAGCAGATGAAGCACCCCCTGTTGAATTTGCACCTCTTCACAATCGGATTCAAAGACCAGCTGTGCCTATCGCGCTCCAGTTGTTCAATATGCTTTGGTTGGTCGTTAGACTAGTGGGATTCGTGTGGTTCTTCACTTCTGGAAATAGTAGTTGGTCAAGATTCCTGATGATGAGTGGACTTGCAATAGTTGTCTTCCTTATCAACACAGGAGTTCTTATTGGTGTTTTCAACGGGGTTGCGGAGCAATTCTGGGGCCCAATCAGAAGACACCTAGAAAACTTGATTCCACTGGCTGGACCTGATGCGGCCCTTGTACCTGCAGCAAACGCTGGAGTTGTGCCTCAGAACGGAGCGGTGGGAGCGGGTCCCCAGGCTCGATTACCACATGGCCAACTTGATGAGTCTCAAGTTGCGGCAAGAATACTCGAGCAACAGCGACATAGACAAGCACAACCAGGCTGGCTCCTCGCCCAGATCCGGAGGGCAGAACATGCTGCGCTTCTCTTTGTGGCGAGTCTCATTCCTGGTGTTGGAGAAAGACATATTGCTGCTCGGGATAATGCGGCAAGAGAAGTTGAGGCGGCGGTGGCCGAGGCAGAAAGGCGTCGCGCTGAAGCAGAGAATGCGGGAAGTGATGTTGTAGAACGTGAAGAGGGCGCCAATGAAGGAAATCATGACGAACAGCAGCCTGAAGGAGCCGTTGGAGAAGGAGACATAAGCGGTGAGAATCCTAGGCCAAATGCTGAGGTAGAGCGCGAAGCACCTCCTGCACAACCTCTGCTTGTTTGAGAGTCGTTGCTTGTTGGATTTTGACGCGTATGGCTGTTCACACACGGAGCGAGGCTAGAGCGGAATCTTTCTTGGAGATTTCTCTTATTTCCTTAGGTGGACGTATTTTGTACGAGTTTACCTCTCCAGCGAAGACTTTAATGATGAAATAGTAGCGTAGGCTGAATACCTTGATACCAATATAAAATTATTCTTACAGACAATAGCAAATGAACAATGCCAAGTAACTCATTAGTATTTGATTTCTAACTACGAAATGATAATAACTTTTTCATGACATCTTCTATCTGCAACAGCCACCCACGAACTATGTGCACATATATATCTATCTCTCCATACTATCCCCCTCCTTCCGCCTCCACCGCAATTTTCGGACCCATCTCTCTCACCCTATCAACCAGCACCACACTCGTCTTTAAATTATCCGCACCACTCAACGCCTTGACAACCATTGTCTCACTCCTCTCTCTCACAATGCACCTCAGCGCACTAACCAGAAACCCGCTCACCAACTCCACACTCCACGTATCGGGTATCATACCCAACACATCACCCACATCAAACCAGCCGCCAAAACGCTCGAGTAGGGAACTAGTTTGCTCGACGCGATTACTGAGATCATCTATTTTTAAGAATTCAGCGAGGAGTGAGTGAAAGAGCGCGGCTTGTTCGGAACGCGTGGGAAGGGTTGCGGGGGAGAGCGTGCCGGAGATGGGATGGTAGATGCTAGAGCCGCCGAGGAGACAGTAATTTATGGCTGTATCGTAGTCGCCGAGGCCGTGGGTCAAAAGACGGAGCGCTTCTTCGTGGTGCGATTGGCGGCCGTCAAGGATGATGATCTCCGGGACGAGTTCTTGGGTGTATGGTGCGATGCGGGCGAGGATGGCGGCGACGTCGTATTGGGATGCGGAACCTTGGCTGCCGCCTAGGAGTTGGAGGAGACGGAGACGACTGTGCCACCATTCTTCGTTGAGGGGGTTTTCGGTGATGAACTGGCGGTAGGTGGGTTTGGGTGGGCGGAGGGCTCGGTAGGACTCATAGGTTTGGATGAGGATCGCTCGAGCTTCGGGTGACTCCTCTAATTTGGTGGTGACTATGTCGAGATAATATGCAATAAGTTCGTTAATATACTCTGAATGATGCTTTGAAAAAACCAAATACTCGAGGAAATCCTTCACCGCACCAGGCGCCCCCTCGCGTAATATCTTGAGAGCTTGTGTGGGCTCAAATCTAACTCGACTTTGCCCATCCGCGAAGACTTGAACACCGAGTTTGGGATTTCTAGATGCCAGCCAAACACCATATTCCCGCACAAGATTAGGGTTTCGAACATTGATTAAATATTTTCGTACTTCGTTCTCCCCATCGAGGAGCTCTCCCCCTTCATCTTCTTCTCCCTCGACGATCCTCTTCCACGTGCCTAATACTTCTTCAGTCATCTTTCTACTTTGGTACAAACGACTGAGAACGTATAAACGGTTATAGAATTGAAACAGCGATATTGCTCGCTCAAAACAATCCACACCATGATCCACCAGGTTGTTCAGTTCTGCTCGGATTGATTTAGCTCTAGCTGGTCCACGAGGAGATGATATATCCATTTGTAGTAACACAATCAAGAGGGCAGCATCAACACTTTTGAAAACCTCAGTTTCATTCGAAATGCTGCCGAATCCTTTCTTTCTGCGCCACGAGAGCAAGAATCTTCTCAAAAATCGAAGGATTTGTTCAGGCATTATGCTATGTTTCTTTGAACTTTGGCTATCCCAAACTCCATTTGTGTTTGTTATGAAGTTGTCTGCAGCCTCCTTTAAGCCACCGTGAACCCAGATACCCGTCTTCCCTTCAATTATCTCGTTTCGTAAAATGGGAACAATAGCAAGAACCACCCTAGGGTCAAGGCTACCCTCTAGAAGAGCCTCTTCGGCAGCCCCATATTCGGTCTCCGTAGCTTCATCCACTGGGGCCGTCAACAGGCTTATTAGAATGAGAAATCCAATCTTCTGTCGGATATAGCCTAAGCTAACAAATTCGGTCTCTGTCTTGGCTTCTTGACCACGTAAAGAATTCATCATTTCAATGGCTTTCCTTCTGTTGAGGTAAGGTATTCCTTCATCCCCAGTCTCCAAACCAAGTTCCGCATCAAGACGGAGGGCAAGTGGATTCCGAATTGCCCACCATACATTTTTTCCGGACCAAGTAACGACGCGTGCTCGTGATTTTCCCAGTCTCTGAGCAAATTGTTGCTCCTCTTCGTTGCGACGGGCTTCCCAGCCTGGCGAGAGCGATTCTTCAAAAAGTTCCCTCTCGCCTGAAACTCTCTGTAGTGAAATTGCCGTTGGAGAATCTGTGCTCTTCAGAGATAGAGTGGATGTGTTCAGAGATTTCAGTGCGAAAGGTTGAAAACGCTTTAGCCGAAGTTTGTCGACCACATCATCAAAATAAATATCCCCAGGCTGAATTACTGTTCTTAATCCAATCTTGTGTCCTGCTTCATCATCACTCACTGCATCAGATGGTGGCACTTCCAACCAAAACTTCTGTATAGCATCCTCCCCAGGATCCAAGTCCCATCGTTGAATTTCAATCCCGTGTCGTAGCACATCGCCATCTTCAAATGCCATGGAAGCAAGCACATATCCTTCCTCCTCATCTTCCATTGTATTAGGGACAGGCTCGACATCCACACCACGACCATCCACAACAATCTCGTCAGGATACTTTGCAAAGTCTAATGTTGACCTAGTAACGTCACCCTCCAGGTTTACAAACATGCCAACTCCATGATCACGTGGACCGGTGCCTGTGACTAGAAGGAACTCCTGCGGGGAGGGTGAAACTATATGGGGCTTTAAGTATACAGGTGCGGTAGAAGATGTAGGAGCCTGAGCGTCGGCCACTGAGGGTTCGGCTGGTGGAGGTGGTAAGGGCTTCTCAGGGCTAGGTTCGCCTTCCGTAGAGTCCGACGGACCGGCCGTTACTACAGGTGAAGCCTCTCGGAACAAGGGATCAGGGGTACCTCGTCCAGAACGATCTCCGCTTGCAGCTCGTAGACTGTCTCGCCGCGCACCGGCTTTGGAAGCACCAAGACTTGTACCTCTTCCGTGAGTTCGGTCATCAGATGAGCCCGTATGAGTCAGTGATGTATTTCGTGAAAGTCCACCCCCACTATTACCAGATATATCCTCGACCTGCCCACCCACATTACCCGATTCGGAATCATCTGAGGACGATATAGGAAAGAGGGGTATCTTCAATTGACGATCGACATCAAGTAAAGCGTACGACTTGGAATCTGCGACACAAGCATAAGAATCACGGCGAATGGATATAGTGCTTCCAGCAAAATCTATTTTCTATTGGTACATCAGTCTAGCACTTATGCACGGCCTCGACTAAACGTACCCTCACAGGTCGAGGATCTTCCCCAATTCTCACAACTCTCATCTTCTTGTTTAGCGAAACAAGCACTGTAACGCCTCCGCCATCTTGGTCAGGGGTTATGATATCTGTATTCAAATCTATGCCACCAATCCAGTTGCAAGGCCTAATCTGTGTTGTCCCGAATACTGGGCTTAATTCTGGCAAGGAATAGAAGGTAACTGTCCAGTTGCACAATATACAAGCTTTGTTGACTTTAGGAAGCAGTAGAATCTGTTGGACACCAGGTCTTTCTCGGGTAGATAGCTCATGGTAGGCAGGAGGTAGTCTCGAGGCTAAAATATAAGAGGGCTTTCCTGAGATATCGGCAGGATCCGGGGGAATCTGTACGAAATGAAGGATTTCAGAGGCCGAAGTTCCAATATATAGATTCCGATCTGCGGATATACATTAGCAATACAATCAGACAGTCTATAATATAAAGAGGGCAGCAACTTACCTAAGAATTCCACACAATTAATCTCAATATCCGTTCTATCCCCATCTGCAGACAAGGGCAGGTCCTCAATCAGGCTGCGTAGAACATAAGGACCATTTTCCGGAACTCTTCGTTTCCTTTTCCGCGGACTCAAAATATCTTCTGGATCAGTTGAAGCCATTATCAAAGGCTTACTGTCGACTTGTAATTATCATGGCCAGTGCCAAAGTACTCACTCATGGCCGTTGAGCTTTTCCGGCGCATTGGATGATAGGTAGTTATCAATGGGTTTAGACTCTCATGCCTGTGGGAAGGCTGCCATTACAGGGATGCTCATTCGCCAAGGGACACCCACCAGTGAACCTTGACCCTGAAGCTTGGTCATCCAATCAGCATTAACGAACACCTTGCACCGGGCATCATGGCTCTAAATATTACTTGAGGCTTACTATTAGAACTTACTCTTCGAAACATTATTCTGTTGCTTCCGTTACATCAAGATAAATATACCCCCGGGGCACTTTTATGACTTTACCTTAAGACTACACTACTTCACTTCAGCAAATGGTTATAATCCTTTGCGTGTCGATACTGCGATGACCGACTTCGCAGAATCAGCACTGGCAGCTTCGGTGTCAAGTCCTCCGTCTCAGCCTGCAGATCATATAGCTCCAGGACAAGATGGGGACAATAAATTTCAAAAGGCAATATCGGCGTGGAGGAGTGAGTCCCTGATGTTACAGGACTTCAAAACTCGTGCTAATCATCAACAGCTATTGACCTTACCTCCATGATTCCATCCCTTGACAATACCGCATCCGAAATCGTTCAATATCAGAGGGACTCAACTGTGCAGCGCAAGGAATTGGCACAGAAGACGAAAGATTTCCGCAAGTTGGACGACTCAAATAAACTATCTGAAATCAAAGGATTACTAAAAGGTTGGTCTTTTCTAGGATGCGCAATACTTTGCCCTACTGACACAAATATCTGCTATAGCATATCAAACCTTCATAGATCTCCTGACAAACCATTCCAAATCTACGAATTCGGCCTTCCTACAAGTGTATTCATCTCTATCCGAGGCCCCAGATCCATACCCTTTGCTGGAAGCATCTGTCGATTCATTACTGCTATCCGAGGATACGCTCCCTAAGATTACACAAGAGAATGAACATCTTCAAAAGAGTGTCAGTAAACTCACGACTCAATTGGAGGATACGGAATCCAGATTAGAAGCGGAAAGAATAACGCGCAAGAATTTGGAGGAAGGTCTAGAAACCAAGGTCAAAGATGTCGAAACTTCTTGGGCCGCTGTGCTGGAGGAGAAAAAGGACAATTGGGAAGCAAAGGAGAAATCATTAGAAGAAAAGGTGGAAAACCAAGACCGTTTGTTGAGCGAAATCAAGGCAAGCTATGAGGTCAACCAGCGTTTGGGACAATCCGAGAATGCTGATGCAGATGGAGGTCGCGGGCATGTTACGAGTGCAGAATTGGAGATGGTCACATCAGATTTGGAGCGTACGAGTGTCCGTTTAGCAGAAGTCGAAGCTCGAAATGAGCAATTGCGAATAGAATTAGCTCAGTCAGCTTCACAAGTTCCAAGCCAGCCAGCATTGGCTTTGGAAGACGAACCCGCCTACATGCGCTTAAGATCGGAAAACTCATCGTTGTTAAGGAAATTAGATGCTGCAAGAGTGGAAAGAGATGCAAAGAAGCGAGATCTTGATACTAAGCTCCGAAGCTTAGAGAGGGAGATTGGAATGCTCAAAGAAGAACGCGATTCACTGAAGACCAAAGTCCAAAAGTGGAGTGATTATGAAGACGTGAAGCAGGAACTGGAGGTTTTGAAGAGTATCGAATTTTCTATGGGAGATGACGATGAAACACAAGACAATGGGGCTAGTTCAACTACGCCAGAACCGACAGGAAATGGTTCTGGAAAAGTGAAAGGGGAGACATTAGAGCAGCTTCTTCTTGCTAGGAACAAGAAATTGGGTGACGAACTCACAGTCCTGAGAGTTTCACATCAAGATCTACAGAGTCGCTTGCAAAATATGCAGGAAACTCTTTCTACGACCAATGCCGAGTTGGAAAAGTCGCAAACTTTGGTCACTACATTAGAGAATGACCTGACAAACATGCAAAACGGGGTGAGCGCCTATCCTTCTGCTCCTTCTGTGGCTGGAACGTATTCAAGCCGTTATCCTCAGTCAGCAATCGGCCAGTTTGCGTCAAGGAACCGCAAAATATCTCCTACATCATCAATTATATCTGGATTTGATCCTAGAACGCCTATGGGCAGCACACCTGTGGATGTTCTTAGATCTGGCGAGCCTGTAGGGGGAGGTTCGGGTATTCTTCCCATGGTTACCGCGCAGCGTGATCGATTCAAGAAGCGCAACTCGGAATTAGAGAATGAGCTTTCCGAAAGCCATCGCACGGTGTCATCACTTAGGCAGGAGATCTCTGCCTTGCAGAAAGATAATCTGAATCTGTATGAAAAGACAAGATACGTGTCAACATATAATCGAGCAGGGCCAACAGCTTCATCGGCGTCCTCTTATGCTACCAACCCTAATCCTTCCACGGTACAAATATCCTCATCGACATCTTCTGGTCTCGCCTTGAATCGATACCGTTCAGCATATGAATCCAACATTTCGCCCTTTGCTGCATTCCGTGGGCGAGAATCAGCTCGAGCGTATAAACGTATGAGTTTACCGGAAAGGATAGTATTCTCAATCACAAGAATGGTATTAGCAACTAGAACTAGCCGAAACTTATTCGCAGGTTATTGCGTGGCTCTTCATTTAATGGTGTTCTTTTCATTATATTGGTTAGGTAGTGTTGATGTCGATCAGCATGGAAGTCATCTAGGTCAAGCGGCTCTTGCAGCCGCTGGGGGTGCTAAAGGAATGGTCGATGCTGGGAACGATGCTGCGCATGGTGATTGGCATCAGGAGGGATTTAATGGGAAGGTATCTTGATGAATGATTAGATGAACAAAATAATATGTTGTACTATCATGTGATAATAGAGGCTATTTGCCAATTTCTTCTTCTAATGCATTCATTATTGATTGCTAGATTTCGTCATACTGTAGATCTGCCGTTCATCTGAGGACGAATGAATTGTGATAAGTGTACTAGATGTGGCGTATGATTATCTCTAGAGTGTTTCTAGTCGCAATTTTTCAATGTATCTTCAAGAAACTAATAGCGGTAGCGGTAGCGGTAGAGGTAGAGGTAGTGGTAGTGGTAGTGGTAGCGGTTACTCTAATGAGTCTATTCCCTAAATGTGGAGCCATCTAGATAGAATTGACATCTCCGTAATTCATAAATACTAATTCCTTATCAGATTCATACCTCTAGGTAATGATTTATTTGTCACGAATCACGAGTATTATAACACAATAAAAGCAAGTACGGCGGTTTGGGCCGCTGTTTCCGAGGGGGTCCTTATCGATAAGGAATCCTAGGACAAGTGTCCTAGGATAAAATATGTCCCAGGATAATTAGTATCTTAGGACAAAACGATTAGGCAACCATGTAGGCTTAGGACAAGTGTCCTAGGACGTTATTCGTCCTAGAATAGAATGTCCTAGGATAATATTTGTCCCAGGACAATTATCCTAAAAGCTATATTATCCTAGGATCAGAATCGTTCCAGGATTAATGTCCTAAGGCCTTTAAAGGATCACGTGATGGATAGACTAGATAGCTTAGTCTATCCAGTCTAGGGGATAGCCCAGGTAGACCAGTTTATCTAGGCTATCCAATAGTATTCAGAAGTATATAATTAAGATAGTTTCATAGTCTAAAAGCTTCGTGCTCAATTCAGTTATCAATTAGTTTATCTATATTCTACTTGATCTAGTAACGACTTCACTTCCAAATGAATACCAGTGATAAAGCCTTAACCCACAACTACCAACCAGACGAAACCTCAGGCAGCCGCTGCCTCCAGTACAGTATCGTTACATTATTTATTTATTTATTTATTTATTTAGGTAGGTATTCATTGGTTGGATCGTAGATCGTAGATTGTAGATCTCATATCGGTATCTCATTGTTACGACGGCTTCGGATCTCGTATCATGTGACCAATTATGTAATCACATGGTCCCTTAGATCCCCTCGGTCTCTTGATCGAAGGGACCGAGGGGACCAAGGGGACGATTAGCATGAAGGTCTATATAACTAAGATGGATTTCCTTTGTATAGAGCTTCGTGCTCAAGATCAATCATTTAGTATACTCTACTATTAGTTACGAATTGCATTATTGTCATTACTTTAAGTCCCTGCTTGACGCCTAGTTATAAACCACCTCGAGAGCCTAGAGCACTTCCACGTGATCTAGACGGCAAACCTCGTAACACTCATATCTTTCAAATTCAATAGTCTGCGTGGATGGATGGATGTATGTTTATTTATTTATAGATCTTTTTACTTAGGCGCCCGGATCATGTAGATAGACCAATCGGGGATTTTTGGGTGTGGGGGTTTGGTTTTAGAACCTTGTACGTCCGTAAGGTTATGTGTCTAAAAATAATACTTTTTTTTTATGGGGATAGCTTCGGTTGGGGAGGTGGAGAGTCCGTGGATTTTGGGAAGAGAGCATGCCGGTTGTAGATTACAGAATTTGGGGCTTCTTTCTGTTCTGTGTTGTCTGGAAATATAGTGCACTATGAAAGAATATTTGATACATAGGTATGGAGAAGAGAGTGTATTATGGGAGTATGCGATGCGATGCGATGTGTATATATATAATATATAATATATAATATAAGAGATAGCTTTACGGGTTTTATGGTTATGGGGGTATCGACGCTATAGTAGTTTCTGTAATCTTTCACTTTAAGGGAATATGGATTAAGGCATTGAGCAAATTGCGGAGGAGAGCTAGTTCCTATTAAATCAAACTTTCATCGGATAAGTAATAGATAGATAGGGGAGTGACGCGGGGCAGTTTACTTTAGTTTAGTTGTTGATATATCGCTAAGTTAGCTTTAATTTGTTCATTTCTTAATATGAATTAGACCTTTTTGATTCTTGGTTCTTACTGCAGATACATATACATATACAGATACAAATGCAGATCTGTGAAAATCTCCATTGGTTCAAGACGCGCATCTAACAGTTGGTTGAATGATGACTCGATTGTTAAGAAATGGGTTGGTGGAAGGTCGGTCTTACTGTATGGGGCTTTGGTAACCTTTCTCTCGGGATGGTAAGGTAAGATTATGATTATGGTAGTAGAAAAAGAAACCCGAGTTTATGGTTGAGAGGATTATGGTATGTGGGCTTTTCATTCTTTAGAGGGGTGTCTGTTAAGGTGCTGATTTTGATCAAGATCAAAATCATGGTTTCTTATCTTGTGGATGAGTAGCCCTTATATTGTGCTTAGTTCATCCCGCTATATATATATATATATGCGAGGAGATGTGAAATACTTACTACTGCACACTTTTATTATTGCTTCACAAGTTTCTATCTTCATCCGGGCATGAAGATATATTGCGAAGATGCACTTGCGATGTATTTATGAACAGCAGGTTTTATTATATGGTACGACATGTTGTAGAACGATTGAATAAAGAAATAGCTGGAGGATATGATTCGATGAGTGGTTATACGTACGGCTAGAACTAGTTATCATGAGGTGTGCGAATATTTTATAATAGACATACCAACTACAACAGAATAAGCAGATCGATAAAGACATCCATCAGCCCTCTTCCATCATCAATAATCCTCATCTCAGAAATCCACTAATAATTCATCCCAAGATCTGCAGCTGATAGCCGCGATGGAAATCTATAACAAGATTGCCGTAGTAGTGTACCAAGAATTAATTCAGAACATTAAATACCTACCTAGTACACAACATATTAGAACAATAATCATCCACCATTCCTATCGTTTTACCAAGAAAAATATAAAATCTGCGCATGTTCTATATCTAGAGATAGACCAAAACGCTCTGATGATCGGTTGAGTATTCCTTCCCATGTACACTCTAAGCGTATCGGCATCCAATCTAATCCACAATTCAACACTTAGACTCCAAGACATCCGTCAAGTAAAAAACATCAAGAACCAATCACCCGTAAATCTGCAAAATGATCAGAGACTGCCATGCAACAGTTACATTATGCCCCTGCGTAGAAACCAGGATCGAACTGCGAGACACAGGGATAGAATAGACGATATATCCAAACTAATGCTACTTCACCCCCGCATCAATTCTTTCGACTGGTCCGTGAGGCCTGTCTTGCCGCCAAACAAAAATATTGAGCCTGCTGGTCCTACTTTTCCGTCTGGGGAGTCGGGACTGGGTGGACTCGGGAATCAATCCAATCCATAAATTAATCTTACCATCTTTGATGATTTTCCTTTTTCCCGCTTGTTCGAAATTGTATAGTTACATCTTTCGTACATGGTGGTAAGCGGCTGTTTTCCAGGTTTAGTATCATCCAAGGTGCGCATGTCATGCTTATGGCCAATCGTGCCAATGTGTTTGTTGTATAAGACGCCTGCTGAGCGCCTGTGAGATATGAATTTGGATATCCAGTTATTCATCTTCAACAGTTTGAACTTCTTGCTGCGCTTGAGAAGTATTTTATGCCTATTTGTTAGTTTCTTGTTTCCATTGGCTTCATAGATTCTGTATATTCGACTTTTCATCGAGGGATAATTCTGCCTCGCCTCGTCATATTTATTTATCCATCTCTTTCATAAAGTGTGGGATTAGACGTCTCGGTTTCTTTCCTTCTGGATCTTCTCCGCTTTAATATCTCTTACCTCTTACTTCTGCGACCATTCCTCGTCCCAATTCATATTCATCATGGTTTCTTCATCTTTCCTTTGGGCCATCTTTGCTCTGGGAGCAACGGCTCTTCCAGCCCCAACCTATACCTTTTCATCTGGTGCTGCACATCCCGCCGAAAAACAAGTGATATCCGAATACTTCGACATGTTGGGTCAAAAAGTTCAAGCAGGAAGAAAAATGTCTCACGCTCCAGTGTGCAATCTCAACAAGGCCGTTCAACCAGTTTTATGTATGCTCTCCTCACTCTCCAACCCTTTCACATAAAGTCCTCAAAACTAATTCAACCACCGCAGCTCCAACACCAATGCCTGGTCCCTCAAAAGGTCTAACCTTAAAACACGTCGCCATCGGCCGCGGAACACAAAACTACACCTGCAGCACCAACGCAACAGCAGCACCCACCGCCGTCGGCGCAGTAGCAACCCTCTTCAACGCCTCCTGCATCGCATCCACCTATCCAGATCTCCTCTCCATCCTCCCCAACGTAGCCCTCCAATTCGATCTCAATCTCGCCGCATCCTCTACTCAGAACCTCAATCCCGCCGACCTCATGATGAGCGGCCACCATTTCTTCACCAATTCATCCACACCATTCTTCGATCTCAACACCAAAAATTGGAAATTAGGTCGAGGAGGCTTCTCGAAAACAGATGGTCTAGCTGCTCCCGTTGGCGCATCCGTCGGCCAGAATAATAAAGGATATGGAGCAGTAGCCTGGTTAAAATTATCCGCTAGAGACGGCGCAACTGGTGGTCTACAGGAGGTTTACCGCGTTAATACTGCGGGGGGGAATCCACCAACGACTTGTAAGGATAATTTGGGGAGTAGCTTTGATGTGCAATATGCTGCTGAGTATGTTACACCTTTCCTTTCCACTACTTAATTTTTTTTATTGGTAATTATATGAACAATGTACTAACATCACCCAGATACTGGTTCTACGAAGAATCATAAAAGTCACCATATCTCTTAGACACCTACCTACCCACCTACTTACTCGTCTAAAAATCATAACATCACGAACAAAAAGAACACATATAACGATAGTTAGGAAGTCAATCGATAGGAATAGATAATGCATATCATATTTCCTGTTCTTTTCTTTCCGACTATATCCTTCCTTTCTTACTCATTCATTCAACCAAACCCGGTAGGCGTACGCGTCTACTCGAGTATCCATCTATCCATCCATCAATCTATGCATTCAACCGGCGTAAAGGCAGGATGAGGGAGGTTACATATCTAGTACCTAGTACCTATTATTTATTTATTTGTTATTTTTCTCTTTTATTTATTTTTTTCGAGGGGGTTTCTTCGTATAAGAGACATCAGATTTATGTTTATGCTTCTCTTTTGGTTTTGATATCCCATTTGTTGCGCAAGGAAGGAAGGAAGGTATGGAGCTAGGAATGAATAAATGAGAGAAGAAAAGAAGAAGAGAAGGAATAGGGCAAATCATTCATATGATATGCTATGCTGTGAAACGATAGGATAGGGTACGAACTCAATTAAACAAATCAGAAATAACAAATCAAATCATTTATAATGAAAATGAAAATGAAAATGAAAATGAAAATGAAAATGAAAATGAAAATGAAAATGAAAATGAAAATGAAAATGAAAATGAAAATGAAAATGAAAATGAAAATGAAAATGAAAATGAAAATGAAAATGAAAATGAAAATGAAAATGAAAAAGAGATTTAATTTCAAATATACAAATATGTTACGACGGGCTACACAACTACCAAGGCACGTGATCACAAATGATCAGTAGTGATCATTAAGGATCACTAAGGATCACGATATAGATGATCACTAATGATCATGAAGGATCACTAGTAATCATGGAAGCATGAAGAACTATATAATCAAGATGGATTTCCTTTGTATAGAGCTTCGTGCTCAAGATCAATCATTTAGTATATCCTACTATTAGTTACGAATTGCATATCATTATTGTCATTACTTAAGTCCCTGCTTGACGCCTAGTTATAACCCTCCACGAGAGCCTAGAGCACTTCCACGTGATCTAGACGGCAA